CAGGCGCCACCTTCATGGCAGTGCCAGGACACCCGAGGAGGAGGTTCCAGGCAAACAGGAGTGTCCCAGGCACGGGGACGGGGGCTCAGCCAGCGTTTGGTAACCGACTGCAGCCGCACGCCTGAGCATCACCATTATAACCCATTAAAAAAAAAAAGGGGCACAGCACTCTGCAGGGGTACGTGCCGCGACACGAGGCACTAGGAGGAAGGGCGGTAGGTGGGACATCTCGGTACCTTCAACAAAATCCAAGGGACAGTTGGTTTTACACAGCAAATCAGAGCTCCAGAGTCACTGCTCCAGGCCTGCCCAGCCCCAGCCCCGGCCGACGGCCCCCACTTGCCTGGTGCTGACCGCCAGGATGTCGCCGACGTTGGAGAAGAGGTGGTGGTGCTCCGTCTGAGTCATGGTCTCCCTCAGCTCCTCCGACCTCATGAAGTGGCACACCAGGATGTTCAGGCTGTGCATGTAGGAGTACTCAGACGTGATGATCTCAAACATCGCCTGAAAAAGCAGGGCAGGGAAGATGTAACGACACAAAACGGATTACTACTGATTAAACAAGGCCATGAATTAAAACTTGCTGTATCTTATTTACATTCCATTGGCACGAAGCCACTGGAAATAAGGGAATACCATACTCTTGCAGCAAAGTTCCCTCAGGCACTGCCGGCCAACACCAGTAACTTCAGCATGTTTTAGGACTCTCCTTCACTAATAAGCCACAGCCCTGAGAGGTTTTCCTTTTCAGTGGCTATTTCCCACCAGCATCCGAAGGAGTTGCCTGCTTCCCCGCCAAGATGTGCGGGCGAGCTCTCCCAGTGCCCAGTCCCGGAGCTGCTGGAGGCGGCAGCACCATAAACCCCGCACGCAGGAGCTGGACCCGAGCCCTGTGCGAGCGGTCCCGGACACCGCCACGCGTGTCCCCGCCGCCTTCGGCGTTTACCCTGCACTCCCGGGCACGCCTACGGCTCCGCTCACCTCCTGCCGTTTGCGCTCTTCGGGCGAGATCTGCTGCAGGATGCCCGCTTCCAGCACCTGCGGGCGAGAGGCCGGGATCAGCGGGCGCCACGGCTGCGGCGCGACGGTCCTCCAACGCCCTCTAGTGTGGTCTGGGGCTCGGCCCGGCCCCGCCAGCATCCCGACGAGCCTGGACAGGAACCCGTGCATCCCAGCCAGGGCTGGACAGACCCCGAACATCCCATCGCAACGACTAACGCTGCCGAATTATCCGCTCAGGGCTTGTCGGGCAGCTCAGAGAGCTTTATAAAATACACGCGGCTGTGCTGTGGCACGGCACAAGCGTGGGAGCAGAGGGTGGGGAAGGCAAGTGGGGCCTCTCGGACCCCCCGGGCTGGGAGCTGCCCCTACCTCTGGGAGCTGGCTCCAGGTCACTTGTGCCGGGCGATAGCTCCGCACCACGATAACAGCATCCGGAGGGGACGGCTCTTCTGGGATGGATTCCTCCAGCAAATCCTCATCTGACTCATGGCTGATGGAGTTCAGGCCTCTCTCACGGATTTCCTGATACAGCCGGGGCTCTGCAGAGCAAAAGGCGAGAGGTCAGTGAATTCCCTCCCAGCTGCGGCCCACCGCCTTCCCTTCCCACCGCCGCCCCAGCCCGTCAGCCAAGAGCCCTGCCACGAGCACTGGCGAGCCAGGACCAGCCTC